CAAAAAAAAAGATCAAGGAGATATTTATGGTGTAGTGATAAACCATGTGCACATTCACAACAAGGAGTTACCCACAGAGTTGTAGTACCTTGTATCCTTTTACAGCAGACTCCATTATGTCAATAGTATCAAATTTCCACCCATTATTTTGGGAATACTTCTCATACCTATAACATAGAAGAATCAAGTTAGTTAATAAGACAGACCAAGGGTCACAACAGACATTTGATCCGGCGAAACATGAACATCCACCCGACATTTTGAATATATCCATAGCAAACAAAGAAGCTTCTTCTCCTCCAGTTCCTGCAACAGTATATCATCGTCAACCACTACTGGCCTGATGAAAATGAGCAAACACAAGCAGGCAACTAAAAGGACGGATTATATTGATGGAGAGGGCAGGGTCCGTCTTACCTGCTCGCACCTCCAATATACAGTCCCTCTCATCAGCTTCATCTTTCGGAAGCAAAGTTCTGAACAACTCATGCTGCAGTCGTTTCTCCTCCTCAACAGCCTCAAGGAGCTCCTCAGCTGCCATTTCACGCATGTCTTTCTCTTCAACGGAGTTTGTCACCAAGGATGTCAATCCCTCAATTTCCTACTAACAATGAACAGACTGTTCACAACCTTTCATACCGTAAGTCGGACAACATACAACGTGATGGGATCTTCACCTTCTGCTTTGATCGCAGCTCCTTGATCAATTCAATGGTGCTCTCCAGCTTGTGGAACTCCTTGTTAGCCCTCGAGTATTCCTCCGGTGAGGCAGCCGGCTGACTTCATTAACACCACACCCAAATCAAACCAAAGATAATCACAGTATGGCTGTGTTGGTTCTTACACTATTCTGTTTTGACACCTTACCGCCTTAGGAAGAAACAGAAGTGTACAAGAGGCATAAAGAGGAGGTCTTCCATCCGAAATTACCTGGTTGATTTGCTCCTGGAGGTATGCACTCTTCTGCTCTATCAATCTCATTCTCTGCTCCATGATCTGTACCAGGTTTGCAGGCAGCTGGTGGCTCATGTCTGGTGCAAAATTGGGGGAAAGCAAAATAGTGCCCGAATCAAATAAATGAGATCAAGTATTGGACTTCTTTCTCCCTCCTCGAGCCAGAAAGGTTTCTCCTCTTGGAGCGGCGGAAATGTCAAAAGAGAGGCCTAGACATAAAATACGCAAATCCGTAGCGGATACACGGCGCAGTTCTACTACCGCACACAAACCCCAAGCTAAAGGGGGTGGAGGAAGCGGAGATAGATCATACTGCAGATGGAGCAAGGAGAGACGCGGGAGGTGCTCACCGGCGGTGGAGTACGGGCGGGGAGTGCAAGGGCGTCTCCACGCCGCCGTAGGAGGTGCAGCGGCGGCGACGGTGGGGTGAGGGAAGTGGCGGACCCGCCGGAGCGCGGCGAAGGCGACGGCGCCGCATCGCCGTATTTGCTGCTGCATCGAGGTGGCTGGGAACCTAATGCTGCCTGCCTTTCTTTCTCGCCCTTCTCCGGGGGTTTAGACTCATAATTCCGTCTTCTACATGGCGTTTACGTAGTTTGTGCGATCTCTTTCGATGCCGCTTTCAAAACATTCTTCTTATTTCTTTCGGGGCTAATAGTTTGGGCCAAGTATCCCATGAAAATGGCTTTTCAGTGAAAATGTAAAAATTCCTATCCTACACTGTTGGATTGTTGGCGGACGTCCTGGATTGAAGGTGGGACTGCTAACATCCACTTGAACAGAAATTAGCAGATAACCCCCTTTCCCTCTTCATCATCAGGTAATACGGCTTGATCCTTCGTTAATTCTTGAATCAGATCGTCTTCATCGTCTTGAGCGTCACCGCCATTTACACCTTCCACAGCCGCATGGCCCTTGCCCTCAGCCGGCCGCGACCGGCCCTTTGGCGGCGCGGCGTTATCCCCACGCGGCCTTGGCTCAGGCTCTTTCACCGCGCAGAGGCGATTCCGCGACCGCAGCTCACCCCACGCGACGGTGGCTCGACGGTTGGGTGGCTGCCCGTCACACATCGGCGACGGTGCCTCGATGCCTCGAGCGACGGCAACTGGCGTCTTGGACACTGCCCAACGAACTGGTGGCTCGACGGCCACAGCTCCGCTCACACAGGACGATGACTCAGCGACAACATCTCCGCCGACACACAACGGTGGTTCGGAAACCACGCAACTGCCGCTGACGATACGACTTCGTGGCCGCGAGACTTCCTTCCGCACGATGGCTTGACAGCCGTGGTTATACCTCAGGCGACGATGACTCAATGAATTTGGCAGCTAAAGCTCTATAGTCACATTCTGCAGCAGAATTCTTGCTTTGTACTATGAATTCAGAAATCGTATCCGAATGTTGCATTTGTCTATTGATGAAACGTGTAAGCTTGCTTATGCAGTCTGACTTCAGAAGTTGTATTCATTTAAAAACCACACCGTGAAAGACATCTAATCTTTAGATGTATGAAACTATGAATTCAGTTATCTGTAAGAGAATTTATGGATAGAGACGCAACGAGCAGAGGGAGAGTTGCCATCAGCAGAGGGCCACTCCCTAACGATGGAAGCCTCATTCGGACAAGCGGAGGGCAGGTCGCGGCCAGCTGCGGGTAAGCGCCGGCCGAAGGTGCATGGCGGCGGCGCTCATGACGATGAAGACGATCTGATCCAGAAATTAACGAAGGGTCAAGCCCTATTGACATGATGATGAATAGAGAGAGGGGGTTATCCGCTAATTTTCGTTTAAGTAGATGTTAGCAGTCCCACCTTTAATCTAGGACGTCCGCCATTGATCCAACAGTGTTGAATAGAAATTTCTAGATTTGCACTGAAAAGCCATTTTCACCCGATACTTCGCCAACAGTCTGATGACTTTATTTCTTTTGTGGCTAATGATTTGACCTTGTTAATCAAAAGGGGATATTGCATCATATGGAATGAAACGAAACAAGACCATCCGAACTTTAAAATCATAGCAATGTATAATTCATCGCCTGTCAAATAAATCTTGATGTTCTTCAATTCCTCGATAAATAATTCGCATAAGACTGTGCATGCATAAAAAAACAACTTTAGTTCGGTCATCATATCAGACCAATTGGCATAATAATCGTCGATATGATGATTTTGACCGAAAATGTCATTATTGTAGAGTTGTCATAGGCCCCTCTGCTTGCAAAATTTATGAAGCACACTTTAAATCGAGTCCACGAGCCTTCATATTTAGAGGCGGGGGCGTCAACATGGAGTGACCTTCATCTCGAACCACTCAGATGGGAGAGAAGTTTCAGCCTGACCTCTTCCTCTTGCGGGCAGCCCAGACAATGGTGCAACCGCTTTCACCCCTGCCAATGCCGCAACCACTTTTCTGTTGGAAGCCAATTAATGGTCACCGTCGCGTTTCACATCCGTTTCCCCTACCAGCACATGGCAAATCCACCCCTGTTTCCCGCCGGAGCGCGTCCATTCGCGGGTATATAGATCCTCATCGCTCCCAACGTCGGCACCACCACGCCCGCCCTATCTTCCCTCATCGTTGTAGCTGCTACACTCACCCTCATTGACCATTGAGGGAGTCCTGGATTAGGGGGTGTCCGGATAGCCGGACTATACCTTCGGCCGGACTCCTGGACTATGAAGATACAAGATTGAAGACTTCGTCCCGTGTCCGGAAGGAACTTTCCTTGGCGAAGGCAAGCTTGGCGATACGGATATGTAGATCTTCTACCATTGTAACCGACTCTGTGTAACCCTAGCCCTCTCCGGTGTCTATATAAACCGGAGGGTTTTAGTCCGTAGGACGGACAACAATCATACCATAGACTAGCTTCTAGGGTTTAGCCTCCTTGATCTCGTGGTAGATCTACTCTTGTACTACCCATATCATCAATATTAATCAAGCAGGAGTGGGGTTTTACCTCCATCGAGAGGGCCCGAACCTGGGTAAAAACACCGTGTCCCTTGTCTCCTGTTACCATCCGCCTAGACGCACAGTTCGGGACCCCCTACCCGAGATCCGCCGGTTTTGACACCGACATTGGTGCTTTCATTGAGAGTTCCTCTGTGTCGTCACTTTTAGGCCCGATGGCTCCTCCGATCATCAACGACAATGCGATCCAGGGTGAGACTTTTCTCCCCAGAAAGATCTTCGTATTTGGCGGCTTTGCACTGCGGGCCAATTCGCTTGGCCATCTGGAGCAGATCGAAAGCTACGCCCCTGGCCATCAGGTCAGATTTGGAAGTTTGAGCTACACGGCCGACCTCCGCGGAGACTTGATCTTCGACGGATTCGAGCTGCAGCCGAGCGCGCCGCACTGTCACAATGGGCATGATCTAGCTCTGCCGCCGAACAGTGCCCTGGAGGCCGCACCCGCATCAGCTCCGACCCTTAATTCGGAGCCAACTGCGCCAATCGAGGATGGGTGGTTGGACGCCGCCTCGGGGGCTGCAATCTCTACGGCGATCGAGCCGAACACCAGCCCTATTCTCTGCGAAGCCCGTGACTCCAAGGAGCTGGACTCCTCTCCAGACTCCGAGCCCTCCGCGCCCCCTACCGATCGAACCCGATTGGGCGCCGATCATGGAGTTCACCGCCGCGGACATCTTTCAGCACTCGCCCTTCAGCGATATTCTGAATTCACAAAAGTCTCTCTCTTTATCAGGAGAGCCCTGGTCGGACTATGGTCAGCAAGGTTAGGATGCGGATGATGAAGAAATTCAAAGCCCACCCACCACCCACTTCGTAGCCACTGTCGATGATTTAACCGACATGCTCGACTTCGACTCCGAAGACATCGACGGTATGGACGCCGATGCAGGAGACGATCAAGAACCAGCGCCTATAGGGCACTGGAAAGCCACCTCGTCGTATGATATATACATGATGGACACCCCAAAAGAAGGCAATGGCGATGGAACAGCGGAGGATGACCCCTCCAAGAAGCAGCCTAAGCGCCGGCGTCAGCGGCGCCGCTCTAAATCCCGCCAAAGCAAAAACGATGATTCCGGCACGGGAGATAATAACACCCCGGACAGTGCCGAAGACAACCACCTTCAGCAAGATTCAGCACAGGAGGATGGAGAAGCCGACCCTCATGAGAAAGCGGCAGACAGAGAGGTCGAGGCCGATAATTATATGCCTCCCTCCGAAGACTAGGCAAGCCTCGACGACGATGAATTTGTCGTGCCGGAGGATCCCGTCGAACAAGAGCGTTTCAAACGCAGGCTTATGGCCACGGCGAGCAGCCTCAAGAAAAAATAGCAACAACTTAGAGCTGATCAAGATTTGCTAGCCGACAGATGGACTGAAGTCCTTGCGACCGAAGAGTATGAACTCGAACGCCCCTCCAAGAGCTACCCAAAGCGCAGGTTGCTACCCCAATTAGAGGAGGAAGCACCTAAACCTACATCACCAGCGCATGATGTGGCCGACCGGCCACCCCGTAGCCGCGACAGAGAGGCCTCTCGGCCCCCCACTCAAGCCGCACCCCGGTGCAGCTCAAAAAATACCAAGGCACGGGAAAATGCGTCAGACCTGCAAGATATATTGGAGGACAAGGCAAGGCAAACAAGATCGATCTACGGATCGCGTGGGCGCCCTACGGCACGAGACGGTAATCGTCACTCCAGATACAGTAAATCCGGCCGGGCCGAACATAGTAGACAAAGCTCGTTTGAGCTGCGTCATGATATAGCCCAATATAGAGGCGCCGCACACCCACTATGCTTCACAGATGAAGTAATGGATCATCAAATCCCCGAGGGTTTCAAACCCGTGAACATCGAATCATACGATGACACAACAGATCCTACGGTATGGATCGAGGACTATCTCCTTCATATCCACATGGCCCGCGGTGATGACCTACACGCCATCAAATACCTCCCACTCAAGCTTAAAGGACCAGCTCGACATTGGCTTAACAGCTTGCCAGCAGAATCAATTGGTTGTTGAGAGGACCTGTGAAAGAACATGCGATGCCCCCATGTTTGGTTTTGGTAATTGATGATAATCTCTATGGACTAATGATTGCCTTGAGTTATATTTGAAGGTTTTGTCCATAGGCTTTTCTTGGAGTCCATGTGTTGGTTTCAAGGAGTTTATGGGTTAACCAAGGTGCTATTAAGGAATTATCCAAAGCTTGGTCATGTGAGAGTTGAGCTTATTGCAAGCATGTCTTGAAGAAGAATATTGTGTGATCATTCATGTTTACCTTCAAGACATCATCCAAATGAAGAGAGTTGGAAAGATTGAAGGTTGATCAAGACTGAGTCAAGAGTGAATCAAGTTGATCAACTCACAAAGCGTAGAAGATGTACCGAGAGGGATCAAGTGATCCCATGGTTTGGTAAGCATTGTCCATTGTGCTTTGTGTACTAACCCATGGTCTATGTGAGAGTTCTACGTGGGGTTAGGTACGTGTTCATGGGCTTGTGTCAAGGGGAAGATAT